GAGTGCAATGGCATGGTCTTGGCTCACTGCAATCTCCGCCTCCCGGGTTCAAGCGATTCTCCCACCTTAGCCTCCCGAGTAGCTGGGACTACTGGCGCGTGCCACCACACCTGGCTAGTTTTTTTGTGTTTTTAGTTAGAGACGGGATTTCGCTATCTTGGCCAGGCTGGTGTTGAACTCCTGGCCTCGTGATCCACCTGCCTTAGCCTCCCAAAGTGCTGGGATTACAGGCATGAGCCACCGTGCCCAGCCAAGATGAATTTTTCTAATAAGAATTCTAAATCTTTAGAATATAGTAAAGCACATTGACATGAACCATTTAAATAGCAACTCCTTTTTGAAAAGTTTTAATTTCTGACTGGGATTATGCCATGAATGCTCTTCTGTCTGTGGAATTTTGGGAAGTGTCATTGGAGTGTGTGTCATATGAGCCTGCTTTGCTAACTGTGATGTACCCTCTCTGTTTATTTTGCAGTCGTGCTCATTCTCCTGCCTTAGGAGTGCACTCTTTCTCAGGGGTGCAAAGGTTCAACATTTCGAGCCATAATCAATCTCCAAAGAGACACAGTATTTCTCATTCTCCAAATAGTAATTCTAATGGCTCCTTTCTTGCACCAGAAACGGAGCCAATTGTTCCTGAACTGTGTATTGACCATTTGTGGACAGAAACAATGACTAATATAAGGTTTGTTTTATATATTATTATTCAAAGAAAAATGTTGCTAAAAGTCTTGGGAAATATGTGGTATTTTGCCTAAAGTTTCCTTTTAATGTGATCAGTTACTGATATACATAAAAATATATAGAGATATGTATTAAGGTCACCTCAGTTTCAGTAGAGGATGTTAATGACATTAAAGTGATCATAGGCTAGGGGTGGTGGCTCACGCCTGTAATCCTAGCACTTTGGGAGGCTGAGGCAGGTGGATCACTTGAACCTAGGAGTTCAATACCAGCCTGGACCACATTGTGAGACCACGTCTCTACTAAAAATACAAAAATTATCTGGGTGTGGTAGGGCACACCTGTAATCCCAGCTACTCAGGCGGCTGAGGCAGAATTGCTTGAACCTGAGAGGCGGAGGTTGCAGTGAGATCATGCCACTGCATTCCAGCCTGGGTAACAGAGTGAGACTCTATCTCAAAAAAAAAAAGTGATCATAAAATATTATTTTGTCATTTGACATTTCTTCCTTAGTAGTAATAATCTCTCAGATTTCCAGTATTTTTTGTTCTAGGTGGAAACAACTAATTTCTACCAGTGAGGACATTTGGGTGTTTTAGTATGTTTCCTAAGTTTTAGGTTCATGTTAGTTGAGTGCCAGCTTTATTTTTTGGGAAACATAGCTCTGATCTGTGCTCTGGGTGACCTTTCTTCTTTTATGTTCTCTTTAATTCATGTGTTAATTTAACTATATACCAGTGTATATGCTAGTTAACAATCTAATAACTTACTGTCCCTGTGCTCAAAAGAGGCAGATAGCTGAAGGATGGTGACACAGGAGGGACTACTTTTGCTGGCAGGGCTTTGAAAGATAAATAGGTATTTGCAAGGTAGGTAAGTGGGGAAAGGCCACAGATGGCGGCTGGGATCAGAGGAAAAGTTCTGGTGAGTGTATGGTGTGTGTGATTTGTGCAGAGGGGAGGGAAAGGGCTAATAAAGAGGAGGCCTCCCAGGCGCAGTGGCTTACACCTGTAATCCCAGCACTTTGGGAGGCTGAGGCGGATGGATCACTTGTGGTCAGGAGTTTAAGACCAGCCTGGCCAACATTGTAAAACCCCATGTCTACTATAAATAAAAAGTTAAACAGGTGTGGTGGCATGCATCTGTAGTCCCAGCTACTTTGGAGGCTGAGGTGAGAGAATCATTTGAACCTGGGAGTTGGAGGTTGCAGTGAACCAAGATCACCCCCCTGCACTCCAGCTTGGGCGACAGAGTGAGACTCTGTCCTCCCTCCCCGCGCTCCCTCCCGCAAAAAAAAAGGAGGAGGCTTGAGAGAGGGATTACTGATTGCTCTTTAGTCCTGGTCTATTTGATGACAGTGGTAAGAGGGCACTTTATAAGTGTGTTGGAAATTCGGGAAAGAGCAGAATAATAAATGTGGAATTGTCAGCTTATAAGTGGTGATTGAGGTAAGAGAGTTGGATTAGAATTAAAGAATTATTGTATTTAATAAATGTGTGTACATGTAGTATATAGGCCTTTTCCTAAGGAGAGAGTTTTAACATTCCTTAGATTCTCAAAGGGATTCATGGTCTCCCAGTAGTTAAAATCCAGTGGTGTAGAATTAGAAGAGGGCTAGGGACTGAAGTTCTGGAAACTTAGGATTTGGGGAGTGAAAAGAGACAAAGCTGCAGCAGGGAGACAAAGCAAAAGAGGTCAGATGGGAGAAGCAGCAGGAAATACAGAACATAAAAAAGAGAGCATTTCAAGAACACAGAGATGCCAGTATTGCCACATACTGGTGAAGTGTGGCCCTGAGAGTTGAGCCCAGAGAGGAGGTACCTGGGTGGCAGTGGGTTCTCTGGTGACCTTGGCCAGAGCATTTTAAGCTGGGAGGGTGGCAGGGGAAAGTGGGGTAGAAAAAGTAAACGGGGACTGAGAAAATGAACACAGGCATACAGACTATTTTAAGGAGTTTGCCTTTGAATGGGAACGATGATACAAAACTAGAGGGAGTCTTGGTCAAGGAGACTTTTGTTTTTGCTGAAGTATGTTAAAATTAGTTTTCATGACATCTGGCTCAATATTTTCTTTTTCTTTTTTTCTAGACTGGGTCTCACTCCGTTGCCCAGGCTGGAGTGCAGTGGCGCAATCACAACTCGCTGCAGCCTCGGCCTCCTGGGCTCAGGTGATTCACCCACCTCTGCCTCCCAAGTAGCTGGGACTATAGGCACGCACCACCATGCCTGACTAATTTTTTGTAATTTTTGTAGAGATGGGGTTTTGCCATGATGTCCAGGCTGGTCTCAAACTCCTGAGCTCAAGCAGTCTGCCTGCCTCTGCCTCCCAAAGTAATGGGATTACAGGTGTGAGCCACTGTGCCTGGCCCCCAGTATTTCTTATATAACCACAAGCTATCTATTTATTTATTTATTTTCTGAGACAGAGTCTTGCTCTTGTTGTCCAAGCTGGAGTGGAGTGGCGCTATCTTGGCTCACTGCAACCTCTGCCTCTTGGGTTCAGGTGATTCTCCTGCCTTAGCCTCCCAAGTAGCTGGGATTACAAGTGCCTGCCACCACGCCTGGCTAATTTTTGTATTTTTAGTAGAGGTGGGGTTTCATCATCTTGTCCAGGCTGGTCTTGAACTTCTGACCTTGTGATCCATCCGCCTTGGCCCCCAAACTCCTATTGGGATTATGGGAGTGAGCCACCGCACTCGACAGTGCAAGTTTTATATCCAACGAAATTGACAAGGTTTTTTGTATACTCTAATGTTGAGTTCATTTTATATTTTAAGACTTTTAATGTGAAATAGTTGGCTATATGGAGTATACTCAAGGGAACGTATTGAAAATACAGAGGAGAGGAAATGATTGATGGAACAAGTAACCAGAAAGGTACACAAGTGCTGAGATTAGCCTTAAGAGAAAGGAGTGAAGGTTGATCAAATACATAGGGCAGGAGGTTGAGCTCAAGCCTTAGAGCCTCATTTTGTGTGAAATGGAAGGCAAGTGCATACTTTTAGAGATAATGGAATGGGGGACAGGTAGTCTGAAGAAAGTAAAGATGTGGATACAATGTTGAAGTAGAGACTCTGTTTTATTTCTCATATATAAAATAAAAATATCTACCATTAAAAATCATTTTTCTTTAACTTGTTTGTAAGTTGAATATATTATAGATTCTTATTTTTTAGATTTATGGGTCTTCTGTAGCACTTTAGAAGGCAAGATTTGGGAATTAGAGATATGATTTCAAAGAGATGTGAATGAGGCCTAATCGGAGAAGGAGAGAGGAGTAGATAGGAGAAATAGCATTATGAAAGATCTGGCCCTTTGAGGGACAGGAATTCAAGTTTGCAGGCATTAATTATAAGTAGGTGGCTTAGTTTGCATTACTTTACAAGTAGGTAGCTTGCTAGTATGTTAATTTAAAAGTTTCCATAATTGTTAAATTTATTGTAGATTTCCCCAACAAAGCTGTGTAATGAGCTCATAATCAAAGAGCTGAAAGGATCTTAGAGATCACGAAGTTTAATTCTTAGAAATGTGTTTGTGTCTTCAAGATTATTGCTTGACCTAAGTAGTTTTTAGATTTCTTGCAGAATATTTTCAGACTTTTAATGGTTTCCGTGGTAGATTCTTGGACCAGTGCTGACAATTACTTTATTAATATATCTATTATAGAGAGAAAAATTCACAAGCCTCAAAAGTGTTTATTACATCTGACCTATGTGGGCAAAAGTTCTTGTGCTTTTTAGTTGAGTCCCAGCTCCAGTTACGGTAAGTATATTTATTTCCCATTGTTCCTGTGTAAGTAACTTAATACTGCTTTTTCCTTTTATTTTCTTTCCTTTTTTTTTTTGGCTTAAGTAGTTTTATTTAGACATAATTTACATGTCATAAAATTAACATGTTTCAACTGTACAATGAAATGATTTTTAGTAAATTACAGTGTTATACAGCCATCAACACAACCCAATTTTACAAGATTTCTATCACCATAGAAAGATTTCCTTGTGCTTTTTTGTAGTCAGTCTTGTTCCCATTCCCAGGTTCAGGCAACCATGCAAGGCTTCTGCTTTTATGGATTATTTTTTTCTGGACATTTTTATATATATAATGTGTGTACATATAGTGTAGCTTTTTGTGTTTAGTTTTCATTTAGCATCATGTTTTTTAGGATCCATCATTTTGTAACGTATCTTTATTTCATACCTATTGCTGTATAATAGTCCTTTGTGTATAGATCTACTACGTTTGTTTATCTGTTCATCTGCTGATGGACTTTTGTTTCCACCTCTTGACTACTGGGAATTATGACAGAATGAACATTTGAGCAAAAGTCTTGAGCAAAAATGTGGACATACGTGATTTTATTTTTCTTTAGTAAATACCTAGGGTTGGGTCATTAGGTTGAATTGTAAATTCATGTTTAACTTTTTAAGAAATCACCAAACTATTTTCCAAATAGCCTACATCATTTTGTATTCCCACCGGCAAAATATGAAGGTTCATGTCTCTTTAACCTTGACATGATTGGATATCGTTACTCTCTTTGATGGTAGTCATTCTAGTAGTTGTGAAGTGTTTTTAATTTACTTTTCTCCAATGGATTCTGATGTTGATCATCTCATTAAGTTATTAGCCAGTCATTTATCTTCTTAGGTAAACTATTCAAATCTTTTACCCATGTATTTACCTTCATATTTTGAAATACTATAGATCACAGGAAGTTACAAAATAGTAAACAGATTCTGTGTACCTTGCATTCTTTTTTCCTCATAGGTAATCTCTTACATAACTATAATACATTATCATAACCAGGAAATAGATGATCTACACATTTTATTTCAAATTTCATCAATTTTATTACTCATTTGTGTGTATATATGGTTCCATGCAGTTTTTTCACATGTGTAGGTGTGTGTAAACACCACCACAATCAAGATACAAAATATCTTTATCTCTTTTGTGTTAACGTTATAGTCTCATACAGCATTACCCACTGATCCTAGCAACCAGTAATTCCCCATCTTGATAATTTGGCATTTGTGAATGTTATATGCATGGGCTCATACAGTATGTAAACTTTTGAGATTGTCTTTTTCTGTTCAGCATAATATTGTTGATACCCATACAGGTTGTTTCATGTATCATTTCTTTTTTTATTTGAATATTTAGCTGTGTAAAGTTTCAAGAGAGCAATGATAAAACCCAGCTCATCTTTGGTTCTGTGACCAACATACCGGCAAAGGATGCAGCACCAGTGGAGGTAATGCACATTTCTTGAGAAGTTGAAAATTATTATGCTTCATCAGATTTTTCAGTCAGAAAAATCTGTGAATTTGCTCAGATTGAGAAGTAAAATTTTTGTCTTTTTTCTTTTTTTTTTTAAGAAAATAGACACCATGCTAGTTTTGGAAGGCAGTGGAAACCTGGTGCTGTACACAGGAGTGGTTCGGGTAAGCAATAAGCAGCACTTCGTGCGTTTAGCAGGACTTCAGACTGCCTGCATGGATATTTTTAATGTTACTTTAGATTGGTATTTTAAATTTGTTACGTTCCTGCCTGCACAGTTTGGCAGAAGAGTTTTGTTAAGAATTGACAATGAAGCTTCCAATTTAGGTGGGTTCTGATTTGGAGGACTGTGCCTCACTGCTATTAATGCCCTGGCACTCTAAACCTGTGACAGATGGGAAACCTTCAGTGAGTAGAGGTAGATTGCTTTTTTTTTTTTTTTTTTAAAGTGGTTTTGAAACTAGAAGTATGGGTACCTTTGGTAAGTACTAAAGTTTCATTATATTAAATGTGGTATATGTTAGCTGTATTTTTTTGACATTTGTGAAATTTACATAGAGAATATACATTTTACAAATTTAAGTTATGAAATTTAAATACATATACACAATTTGAAGAATAATAATGAAATGAGTATTCATATACCCAGTACTCTGGTTAAGAAGTAGAATATTGCTGGCTGGGCATGGTGGCTCACACCTGTAATCCCAGCATTTTGGGAGGCCGAGGTGGGTGGATCACAAGGTCAGGAGATCAAGACCATCCTGGCCAACATGGTGAAATCCCTGTCTCTACTAAAAATACAAAAAAATTAGCTAGGCGTGCTGGCGCGCGCCTGTAGTCACAGCTACTTGGGAGGCTGAGGCAGGAGAATTGCTTGAACCCGGGAGGCGGAGGTTGCAGTGAGCCGAGGTCGTGCCACTGCACTCCAGCCTGGCACCTGGTGATGGAGTGAGACTCTGTCTCAAAAATAAAATAAAATAAAAAATTAAAAAAGAAATAGAATATTGCCAGTATCCTTATTTTTATTATGTTCTTTTCTGATTGCGTTTCATCTAGACAGAATCCTGACTTCTGTGATAAATCAGTTGTTTGTATTACTAGTTATTATAGTTATGTGTGTATCACCAAATAATGCATTATTTAGTTTTCCTTGTTTTTGAATTTTTTTTTTTTTTTTTTTTTGAGGTTTTTTTTTTTTCTGTCGCCCTGGCTGGCCTGCAGTGGCATGATCTCGGCTCACTGCAACTTTCTCCTCGTAGTTTCAAGCAATTCTCCTGCCCCAGCCTCCCCAGTAGCTGGGACTACAGGCGCGCGCCACCACACCCAGTTAATTTTTGTGTTTTTAGTAGAGATGGGTTTCACCATGTTGGCCAGGATTGTCTTGATCTCTTATTCTTGTGATCTGCCCACCTTAGCCTCTCAAAGTGCTGGGATTACAGGCATGAACCACCGTGCCTGGTCTGTGTTTGAATTTTTATATAAAAAAAGATACCATGTACTCACCTCTAATGTAGTTATTTTGCTTAACATTATATTTGTTTTAGATTTGTCTGTGTTGTTGCATAGTGTTGTTTACTCATTCAGTGTTATGTGTGTATTTAATAGTGTTCCATTGTACCTTGTTTTGTGCTTTGCTTTATTGTACTTCACAGATACTGCATTTTATTTTATAGGTTGAAGGTTTGTGGCAACTTTGTGTTGAGCAAGTCTGTTGGTCTCATTTTTCCAGCAGCATGTGCTCATTTTGTGTCTCTGTTTCATATTTTGATAATTCTTGCAATATTTCAAACCTTTTTGTTATGAATTTATCTGTTATGGTGATCTGTGATCCGTGGTCTTTGATGTTACTATTGGAATTCTTTGGGGGCACTATGAACCGCACCTGTGTAAGACAAGGAACTTAATTGATAAATGTTAAGTGTGCTCTGCCTGCCCGTTTGACCTGTCCTTTCTGTCACTCTCCCTCTCCTGCCTCACTCTGTCCTGAGACAAAGCAATATTGAAATTAGGCCAGTTAGTAACCATGTAATGGCCTCTAAGTTTTCAAGTGAAAGGAAGAATCACAAGTTGCTCACTTTAAATCAAAAACTAGAAATGATTAAGCTTAGTGAGGAAGGCATGTTGAAAGCCAAGATAGATTGAGAGCCAGACCGCTTGTGCAAAAGAGTCAGCTTGTGCATGCACAGGAAAAGTTCCCAAAGGAAATTAAAAGTACTGTTTCAGTGAACGTGCAACTGGAACAGGCTTATTTCTGATATGAAGAAAGTTTTAGTGTCTGGATAGACGATAAAACAAGCCATAACATTCCCTTATGCTGAAGATGAATCCACAGCAAGGCCCTAACTCTCTTCAATTCTGTGACGGCCGAGAAAAGTGAAGAAGCTGCAGAAGAAAAGTTATAAGCTAACAGAGGTTGGTTCTTGTGGTTTGAGGGAAAAAACCATCTCCATAACACAAAAGTGCAAGGTGAAGCAGCATGTGCTGATCCAGAAGCCGCTAAGCTAATTGACGCAGGTGGCTACACTAAACAGATTTTCAGTATGGATGAAGTAGCTTTCTGTTGGAAGAAGATGCCATCTAGGACTGTCATAACCTGAGAGGAGAAGTCAGTGCCTGGCTTCAAAGGGCAGTCTGACACTCTTGTTAGGGGCTAATGCAGCTGGTTACTTTAATTTGAAGCCAATGCTTGTTTACCATTCTGAAAATCTTAGGGCCCATAAGAATTATGCCAAGTCTGCTCTGCCTGGGATCTATAAATGGAGCAACAAAGACTGGATGGCAGCACCTCTGGTTATAGCATGGTTTACTCCATATGTTAAGCCCACTGTTGAGACACTGTTGAGACCTATTGCTCAGAAAAAAGATTCTTTTTAAAACATTACTGCTTATTGACATGTACCTGGTCATCTAAGAGCTCTGAGGGAGATGTACAAGGAGAGGAATGTTGTTTTCATGCCTGCTGACACATGCAGCCTGTGAATCAGAGTAATTCTGACTTTAGAGTCTTACTATGAAACACATCACTTAACTAGAGCTGCCATAGATAGTGATTCCTCTAATGGATATGGCAAAGTCCATTGAAAACCTTCTGGAAAGGATTCACCTTTCTAGATGCCATTAAAAACATTCATGATTCATGGGAAGAGGACAAAATATCAACATTAACAGGAATTGGGAGGAAGTTGATTCCAACCCTCATGGATGACTTTGAAGGGGCTCAAAACTTCAGTGGAGGAAGTAACTGTAAATGTGGTAAAAATAGCAAGAAAATTCGAATTAGAAGTAGAGCCTGAAGATGTGACTACATTGCCAAAAATCTTATGATCAAATTTGAATAGAATTGCCAAACTTGAACAGAGTTGCCAAAATCTTGTGATCAGACTTAAAGAGTTGCTTCTTCTGGATGAGCGAAGAAAGTAGGAGCATACAGAAAACGAGTATTAAGTGTCACTAGGCCATTTAAATTTAAATCCCACTAGGCTACTAATTAATGGTCTAACACAAATTAACAGAGACTAGCAGAGGGATTAAAAAATATTGCCCAATTATATAAGGTGGTCATAAAATGCTTCAAATATAATGACATAGGTAACTTAAAGGATAGAAAAACGACATATTATACAAAGAGTAATTAAAAGATAGCTGGAGTTGCTATAAAGTGGGAAAGAAAATGGCAGGAACTGCTGGGTGGGGTTGCTGACTCCTGTAATCCCAAAACTTTAGGAGGCTGAGGCAGGCGTATCACTTGAGGTCGGGTGTTCAAGACCAGCCTGACCAACATGGGGAAACTCCCGTCTCTACTAAAAATACAAAATTAGCTGGGCATGGTAGAGCATGCCTGTAATCCCAGCTACTTGGGAGACTGAGGCAGGAGAAATTGCTTGAATCCGGGAGGCAGAGGTTGCGGTGAGCTGAGATCGTGCCATTGCACTCCACCCTGGGCAAAAAAAGTAAAAATCCATTAAAAAAAAAAAAAAAAAAAAGAAAATGAAAATGACCAGGAACAAAGAGAGACTTCAGTTAAAGGGCCAAATCACCAAGAAGGCACACTTGAGTATTTCATAAATGTCAGTTCATTCCATTTGATTGATAACGTTGTTCCTGTCCTCTTCATCCTTGGCAGTTTCTTTTCTTTTCTTTTCTTTTTTTTTTTGAGACGGAGTTTCGCTCTTGTTACCCAGGCTGGAGTGCAATGGCGCGATCTCGGCTCACCGCAAC